CAGGGAGCCGCTATCACCATGCGGGAGACTTGGGATGTCAACTCCATTTGACAAAGAGCGCAAATAGCGACACCTTTACGTTTGGGACTAAATTTGAAGTATTCCCATTCCTTCGATGATTTAGTGCGAGCTGGGTTTTTTTAGGACTTTTTCTTTTGTTGGGACTTTTGCATGGCTTTGTTGTGAATTCTGTGAAGAGGTTGCTGTTTCGTCCTCGATTCTGCAATGTTTCGGTCTCCCACGTGTGTGTGGCGAGCTGTACCGCCGGGAACGGTGCAAAAAAATAAATACATAAATAAATAAAGAAGCGTCGACAAAAAAATATGACGTCGAAGCGTGCGCCGCTACAGGCCTACTGCTACACTCATGGTACGGCAGTAAAAGTGGAGGGGAAATGTATGTTAAGGCTGGTATTGGGTTTGTCCAGTAGGGGGCGGTGGCACTGTGTTTGTGGATTGGAGCGCTGTTAAAAGCAGAGAAGAACACGCAGTGTGTGTGCTTGTGTGTGTATTGCCGGCTACAGAGATGAGTCCTAATAAATCGAGACCATCCTGAAGTTTCCGTTGTTTCTGAGTTTATTCTTGGTATCTACGATACAACAGGATCAAACAGCGCTGACGTGGAAACCAGGAAGAAACATTGTGCCATGAATGAACTATCCAGTGTCCACAGATCAGCAACATTCGCCATGGATTTACTGTAGTAACACTACTAACTGTAACCATGGAAGTTTGGCAGGAATAGTAGGCTATCTATAATGCTTTCAAGTAACATTACGTCGGTTTTATTTTGACATTATGAATACAATTGCTGCCCTCAAATGTTAATCTGAACTAAAATAAACCTGTGTTTATAACTACTACAATATTACATTTCATTTTGTCCAAGGAGCTGCTTTGTTTTATGCTTCTAAGAAAAGTCAAGTATAGCTCCATCATTGCTCAAAGTAAAAAAATATCATACTTTATGATGTTAGTTTTAATAATAATATAAGTAAAAAAATTAAATCAAGGAAATTTCTCTGGTATTTCTTTTTTTTTGCTGTATCGAAATCGTGTCAAACCGTGAATTTTGTGAACCGTTACACCCCTAATATATATATATATATATATCTTGGTTAGGGCTGTTGGAACGAATTCCGAAATTCGAATATAATTCGAATATAAAAAAAAAAATCAATACTATTCGAATGCTGAAGTTACTATTCGAATATTGCTTTTTTATGCAATATTTTAATATGCAATCTTGCCTTTCTCACCACCTTGGCTTAGACATGTGAAAATGAAATGATTTTGTTTCATCTGATGAACAATAAAGATTTTGAATCATAACACAATTGTGCACGTTATCCACGCTGTCTCATCATAACAATACTGTCAAAAATGGTTAATGTTTAACGACGTAAAAAAACACCTTATATGCCTTATTTGTATGTCTTGCACTAATGAGAATGACTTGCATTGCATGTAATCATTTGCCTTCATTTGCAATCATACGTATTTCAAGGATTCATTCATTTGAATAAAGCCTACATTGGAACAAACACTAATAACTATAAAAACAAAAGCTTATTTGATGTGGCAGTAGTCTATTTTACAATAAAAAGTTTATAACAAAAACTGGTTAACGAAATGTTGTCTTTCATATTTCGTCTGTAACATAGGCATTTCTCATGAAAGTGTGTATCTATAGCACGAATTTAATTTCTCGTACCAAAAATAGTTTTTGCATGCATATGTTACGCACTTTATGTGCGTGTAATACACACACTCCACACACCTAATCCTATCCAAGGGGTTTACAGTGCGTATCATTTGCACGCAAAAACTATTTTTGGCGTAGGATGGTATGAGAAATTAAATTCATGCTATAGATACGCACTTTCATGAGATCGTGTTGTTTTTATGATATATAGGGCATATAAATGTTAATTTGCTGTTTAAGTTGCTTATACAAAGACATTTTATTTAAACATATTTCAGTAGATTTTTACTCATCTCAGTTTAGCAATATAGTTTGGTAAAAGCTGTTCATTCATTCACACACAGAAAGCGATTCATATTTTAACAGTCTTTTTGCGGTTTACATAGGCTATTCCATATTGCGATTACAACAAAGCACTTAATAATAAAAAACTTACTACATCAGCTTGATCCATTGCTCCTCAAAATGAATTTATACCAGCACTTCTGATGTATCCCAGGATTATTCCTTACAGCCTCGCAAGACGACGTAAAGTAGCCTACTGTAATCTGATTAAACTTGTTGTGTTTTATCGAGGTGATGTTGGGGCGTTGACACGTTTGCATGGATCGCCTCAGATCATTTGTGTTTGAATAGCGCGCGCTCTCCGTGGGCGTGATAAAATTAAAAGATAATGAGCTACAATGAGCTGATATGAGAACGACTGACATCTCTCTCTTTTCATATAGATTACATAAACAGAGAATATTTGTTTTTTTTATGAATTAGACCATTTAAAAGTACACATTTACATGATTATAACGATATATAGCTCATGCCTGGGAGAATAGTATTCGCTGAGTATTGTTTAAGTTTAGAGACGTGCTCCAAAAAAGAAGTTCACGGAGACGGAGAACCAGAAGGCACACCCTGTTTATTTTCTTTATTTTACAAAAGCAGTGTTTTGTTTCGATTGTAAGTGGACACATAAAAAAGAAGACATTCAACAGTTTATTTTTTCATATTTCTTACGTCTGTATGACCAAAAATGACGGAGTATTTTAACCCCATAAGCCCTAAAAGCCATTTTTAGAGTTGCTTTGTCTGAGAGACACACATAAAAGTAAAGACTCATAACTCAAACTATAACAAGGAGAGTCAAAAGGTAGGTATCGTTTGATAGAACACTTTTCAAATTTTTGCTTATAAATAAATAAATATTCTTTTTATTATGATTTTGCATATCTTTCTTATTTGACATAGATTAACTCAGGAAGGAAATAAGGTAGGAGGACAATTCTTTTTTTTTTTTGGTGAAGTCCCTCTACATGTGAGCTGCATCTGGATCAAATTTTGTGGTGATTGGATAAAGGAATCAAAAGTTACAGCATTTGGAACCAATGTAGCCTGTTTGTTCAGTTCTTGACGCCCCCTAATGGGCATTTTTGAAATTGTTCCTCCATGGAGAATATCTTGTCATAAACGCAATAGATTATGTTCATTTTGGGCTCATTTTAATTATAATAATATGCTGTAAAAAATGATGTGCCATTTTCACCGATCTGTGAATGTTTCATGAGCTGTAAGATGTTTTTGACACATTGCAGTACATAGTACAGAAAAGTATTTTATAGATTATAAAAATAAAAAAAATCTATTTATCAGCAAATAACTCGGCACTACTTGGGAGTTTTTCAAATTGGCTACATTCACTGTAAAGTTCAGACTCTAAGCTTTCAAATGACACATATTTTGTGTTATTCCACGTTTGAAAAAAAGCGCGGATGGTTCCTGGAACATTGGAAAACACATTGCATCCCGGAAAGATGAGAGACATGTTTTTTAGCCAAGTATGCATAACTTCGTGAGGTATATCTCGCGATCAACGCAATGGATTATGTTGTGTTTGGGCTCTTTGTTATCGTGAGAATCTGCTGTCAATAAAGGTGTTCGATTTATCACAATCTGTGCTGTTCATTGAGTTATGAGCTGAAACGTGACATCAAAACAACATAGCATCACATCACTGCTACTTCATTGGTGCGCATAGTGCAACTTCATGTGTTAGAAGTCCATAAGGAATATCTTTAGATCTGAGTGATGGATTATGGTGAGTTTGAGCTCTTTTTAATTGTGAGAGTCTGCTGAAAAAAATGTTGTGCAATATTCTACGATCTGTGCACGTTTCATGTAGTTATAAGCGAAAAACCAACGCAAGTACTTCATCAGTATATACTTGGCTAGGTACGTCTGTGGTATTTAGAACGCCATGAGGAATATCTTTAGATCTGATTTATGAATATATTTAATATATTGTTTGGGCTCTTTTTAATCGTGAGCTCCTGCTGTAAATAACAATGTGTCATTTTTCATGATCGATGTATGTTTCATGAAGATACGAGTGAAAAGGCCAAGTCTAAACTACCTTGCTTGGCTACGTGTGTCTGTGGATTATTTTTGTGTTAGAACTCCATGAGGAATATCTTTAGTTCTGAGTGATGGATTATGTTTTAATTTTAATCGTACGAATCTGCTGTAAATAATGATGTGTCATTTCCCACAATCAGAGCATGTTTAATGAAGTTACGAGCATTAAACATTAAGAATTTCTTGTACAAAACCTCACTGAAGTTTAGTAAAAAGCCCGAAACAATTATGCTTGTTGTATTCTACTCATTGAGACCTTTCAAATGACATATGGCACATATCTGAGCTGTATGATGTATTTGACATATTGCAGTATGTAGTACAAAAAAGTACTTCATAAATTATGAAAACATTTTTTTTCTATTTATCAGCAAATAACTCAGGACTACTTAGGAGTTTATCAAAATGACTACATTCATTGTAAATTTCTGACTCTAAGCTTTCAAATGACACCTATTTTAAGTTGATCAAGGCAATGTTTTTGAAAAATATTATTATTATTTTTATCGCAGCTAGGTGGCGCCTGCTGGCGGTACACTCCGTTTTAGAGGGATTACTCAACACTTGTTAGGAGTTGTGATTAGTGTGTTATTCCATTCAGTGGTTGCTTAGTAAGGCGGGACACTTCAGGTTTAAGGCTATGTGAAAAGAAAAAAATCGAGCTTGCCGACAATCTTACTCAACCAGAACTTTTGCATTTAATTTTATATTTAATTTATGAAATGGGTATATAATGCTATGAGGTCATTTCTTCCAAACCCTGACCATTGTTAATTTTATATTTAGATCAAATCAGGGCCCACATGCCCATATGGTTAATCCAAACAGTTTTTATTCTCCTACATTGCAGTCTTGAACCTCTGAGGGAACATGAACACACATTCACCTACCTTCAATTTCTGATATCTTTTTCTCTGTTTCTTTTTCCATAACTTTCTGGCCATATTTGATTTCAGCCACTTGTGCCACCTTCTCTGCCTCTGCAGACAGGAAAAAAGTAGAGCAACATTCTTTTACTTTTAAATAAGCAACAACTTCATTGGTATCCAAACCACACAACTGAACATGCTAATGAGGCGGAGTATTAAGAAAAACATCTTTGTTCACCAATGACAGCCTTTTTCCTCTCCGTCTCTGCCTCCTTCTCTACCACCTTCTGTGTCTGAGCCGCAATCAGTAACTTTGTTCTCTCACTCTCCCTGAGAAGACACACAAAATAAAGACAAAGAGAGATTCTGTTTCAATCAAGCTCAATTGATAAGGACTGACAGAATATTCTTACTTTAGACCAAAATACAGTGTTGCAGTTTAGATATAGAATGACAAGTTATGCTGTAACCAGGGTCCAAAATGTAGACTCATATGCAAGTACAAAGTTACTTGCCAAACTGGCAACATTATACATTCTGTCTGGGCCTAATGGTGAGAGTGAAATATATAAAAATACACAAACAAATGCAGAAAATACATATTTGTGCACTTTTTTTCTCCAGTACTGCGAGTGGCGTATTTTGTGTATGATATGCTGTGAGTAACTTAACAACCTGTACTGTGTGTCACTAATATGCAGGATTATTAATTAATAGAAAAAATAGTAAGAAGAATCATTCCTTTGTCATAGAGGCATAATATAAATCAAGGCCAGTTAGAAACAATTATTACCACTACATTCACTCACTGTGTTAGTGTTAGTTAATTTTGGGTCCTGGTTGTAACACAATAAGATCATCAACAGCTATTACATGCAAAAGGTTCTCAAACTCACATTAATTCATAGTTCCTGCGTATGCTTTCTGGAATGTTTGGTTTGGTAACACGGACTGCCTGCTTACGGGTAGAGGAACAGAGGAGAGAGTAAGAGAAAAAAGTTAAAGACAGACAGACTTTTTGCTGCAAGGGCCTTGGGAAAGGAGTCAGAACAAATGGATCTTGGAACAAAATTAGTGGACATGTTTACATACTCCTCATGTGACTCACAGCTCATCGTGCATCAAGTGAATGACACATTACCCACAAAGGCTCCATTAGAATATTCAGGCTACAAGGAAGCTTGAATCACGTTACTAATGATCTCAGTGTTGTACCAACAAGCTGATGACTTGCACATTTTTAGTGCTAATAGATGAGAAACAGTAACAATGGAAATCTACTGCTTGCACAGTTTATTACGAGGAAGGCTGTTTTAAGCGTCTTTGCTCGAGTATGTGAAAACTTGGTTAATCTGCACCAAAGGGATTTGATGAAGGAAATCAGATACCTGCCAAACCAAAGCTAAACAATGAAAGACAAACACATGCACAAATACACAAAGAGGTTATATTCAGCAACTTATCTCTGGTCTTACAAAATGAAAACCAGATAAAGTCTTGAATGTTTTTGTAATAAATTATGAAAGACCATGGTTATTTTTCCTGAATTCGAAGGACCCGTTTAAAGGGATAGTTCAAAAATGAAAATTAGCCCATGATTTACTCACCCTGAAGCATTCCTAGGTGTATATGACATTCTTCTTTCAGACAATACAATCGGAGTTATAGTGTTCCAGTGTATAGTTCCAGTTACTCTTTTGGCGTAAATCAATGCGTACAGCCGTCTTCCGGAAGCTAGTTATTTTAGTCAATAAAGTTTTAAATATGGATATTTTTCTTACACGAACGCATCGCTTCACTTCAGAAGGCCTTTATTAACCCCTGAACACGCGTGGAGGACTTTAATCATGAATAGATGCGCTTTGATGGATTTCCACAGACATACAGCCATTCACTGCCATTATAAAGCTTGGAAGAGCCAGGACATTTTTTAATATAACCCCGATTGTATTGTCTGAAAGAAGAATGTCATATACACCTAGGATGGCTTCAGGGTGAGTAAATCATGGGCTAATTTTCATTTTTGGGTGAACTATCCTTTTAACTAAGCACTAATGTATAACATGTACAGAAGATAGAATGTTGACAAGAACAGAACTCTGTGAATTGGAGCAGAAAACAGACTACCGGTAAATTGCCAAAAAATGATGAATCCCACCTGAATGATGAGTCCAGGTGCCATGTTGGTAAGATCCTCCTGTAGCGTGAGCTTTAGATTCTCATCTATTTGATCTAAGGCAGGAGAAGAATCAACAGGTCACTTTATGAATGATACACAGAACTTAACTCATTTTCTCATCACAGCTGCAAATATTTACTTTCTTTATGATTTATTGCCATATCAGCAGCAATGGCTATATATTCATTGCAAAATCAATAGTATCTGAATTTTTAAAAAATATTATCATTACATTATATTATGTATTATGATTACAATAGAAAAGGCATAGTTCGTCCAAAAATAAAAATTCTTTATGTACTACAATACTATTTGGGTGAATTCTAGTCTCATGTGCAACATCGCCACATCACCACTAGAGGGCTGTAATCCCCTCACACCATTGTGAAGTGCATTTATTTTAGAAATTATGAACTTCTCACTGCAACATTTTTAACATGCATTTCTAGAGCTAAAGAAAATCCAAATTAATTACTGTTAAGGTGTTTCATTATGAAAAAAAAATCATATTTTCTATTTCCTACACCTTCCTAGTGAATTATATTGTGCATTCAGGGTGTCTTAGACATTTTAGTAGAGAAAAATATGCATACAATTATTTAAATTCACCCATCAGTTTGAAGGGCAAAAAACTGCGTGTACAGAAATGCACTTTCAATGAGAGTCTTTTGTGAGGCAGTTGCTGTCAGCTGCAAGGAAGAGACCCTTGCTTTGAAATATGGGTCTTAAAGCAGAAAACTATTAACAAGTTTAATTATATAAAATCATTTAAAACGGTATAGCAACACAACACTTACCAAATAGACCTATGTAGACCTCCTGAAGTGAGTGCACACTACAGAACTGATTCAGCTCATGGTGAACCTTGTTGAAAATCAGGGCTTTGTCATAGTCAGCAGTGAAATTTCTCACAATGCCATAAACTGCAGCAGAACAGACAATGATGTTAAGGAAGAGATGATTAGGGCACATCAAATAAATGCCAGTTATAATCTGACTCGTCCCGTAAATTCATGGGGAGCGGGATACAATATTTATGAGCAAGCAGGCTATGCCAAAAAGGCTCTTTAGTGGGCCCTCCCATGTTACAAGGCCAGGAAAATGTTCCCAGTTGTCCACCCCCAACGATAGCCTTTTAATGCAGTTCTACATTATAAATGACAACAAAATCATGTTACCTGCTGAGGGAACAAGGTAGTTCACCACCTCAATCTGATCAAAGTAGATAATTACACCTCCACTGCAAAGGAAAACAACATGTTGCCATATATGAATGAGTGTGAAAATCTATTTCTAAAATAAATCTCACGCAGGGTCTCCCTCACAACAGCATGTGTCTGAGATGATCAGCGATACAAGACAATCTGTTTTGTGACCTTGTGCTATGCCAGCTGTAATTTAAAAAGTATTTAGTCCCATTAAATCAATAAAAAACAACAGTAAAGACATTTATAATGTTACAAGTTTTCTATTTCAAGTAAATGTTGTTCTTTTACTAGGAGACCAAGGAAGGGTGAGAAAAAGAAGAATAGAAAGGAGGAAGAAAGGAAAAGAAAATAGAAAAAAAGAAAATTCTAAATATGTAGTTATGATTGTGATATACACTCACCTAAAGGATTATTAGGAACACCATACTAATATTGTGTTTGACCCCCTTTCGCCTTCAGAACTGCCTTAAAGGAGAACTCTGGCGCAAAATGAACCTTTGGTTTAATTACACATTGTTACCTAGTCAACCGTTATCTGAGATTTGTTTTCATGATTATCGAATGTAAATAGTTTTATCTCTACAAACAGTTTAGCCTATAAAGCTAGTATAACGCTAGTATATTGGGCATAGTGTAATGACAAATAAAAATCGCTTGTTAATAACACTAACAAGGCTCAAAATAGCCCCACACTAACACGGTAGCATAATGAGGGTCCCTACCTTCAAACCGAAGCATTGAGAACTTTGTCAGTGTCCAGACAGTTTAATAAGAAGATATTTTAAACATACAGTCAACTTCGCGTATACAGGCAGAAGCCATCTTTGAAATACAGCCTTTACCAGTCGATCTACGAACGCCGATCCAAGTGTGCTGGTGAGAATGTGAACGAGCTATAAGTTGTGATAAGGTGAGCGCGAACAGCAGGCTTGGATCGGCGTTCGTAGATCGACTGGTAAAGACTGCATTTCAAAGATGGCTTCTGCCTGTATACGCGAAGTTGACTGTATGTTTAAAATATCTTCTTATTAAACTGTCTGTACACTCACAAAGTTCTCAATGCTTCGGTTTGAAGGTAGGGACCCTCATTATGCTACCGTGTTAGTGTGGGTCTATTTTCAGCCTTGTTAGTGGTATTAACAAGCGATTTTTATTTGTCATTACACTATGCCCAATTTACTAGCGTTATACTAGCTTTATAGGCTAAACTGTTTTTAGAGATAAAACTATTTACATTCGATAATCATGAAAACAAATCTCAGATAACGGTTGACTAGGTAACAATGTGTAATTAGACCAAAGGTTCATTTTGCGCCGGAGTTCTCCTTTAATTCTACGTGGCATTGATTCAACAAGGTGCTGAAAGCATTCTTTAGAAATGTTGGCCCATATTGATAGGATAGCATCTTGCAGTTGATGGAGATTTGTGGGATGCACATCCAGGGCACGAAGCTCCCGTTCCACCACATCCCAAAGATGCTCTATTGGGTTGAGATCTGGTGACTGTGGGGGCCATTTTAGTACAGTGAACTCATTGTCATGTTCAAGAAACCAATTTGAAATGATTCGAGGTTTGTGTCATGGTGCATTATCCTGCTGGAAGTAGCCATCAGAGGATGGGTACATGGTGGCCATAAAGGGATGGACATGGTCAGAAACAATGCTCAGGTAGGCTGTGGCATTTAAACGATGCCCAAATTGGCACTAAGGGGCCTAAAGTGCGCCAAGAAAACATCCCCCACACCATTACACCACCACCACCAGCCTGCACAGTGGTAACAAGGCATGTTCTCATTCTGTTTACGCCAAATTCTGACTCTACCATCTGAATGTCTCAACAGAAATCGAGACTCATCAGACCAGGCAACATTTTTCCAGTCTTCAACTGTCCAATTTTGGTGAGCTCTTGCAAATTGTAGCCTCTTTTTCCTATTTGTAGTGGAGATGAGTGGTACCCGGTGGGGTCTTCTGCTGTTGTAGCCCATCCACCTCAAGGTTGTGCGTGTTGTGGCTTCACAAATGCTTTGCTGCATACCTCGGTTGTAACGAGTGGTTATTTCAGTCAAAGTTGCTCTTCTATCAGCTTGAATCAGTCGGCCCATTCTCCTCTGACCTCTAGCATCAACAAGGCATTTTCGCCCACAGGACTAGGGGTGGGGGAAAAAATCGATTCTTAGATGCATCGCGATGCGGACGTGGACGATTCTGAATCGATTCACAATTGTAAAAAATCGATTTTCAAAAAAAAAAAAATTTTTTTAGATATATATTTATAATAACGTAATATTGACGGAACGCGAAAGACGGAACTCTGAAGCGCGGAAGTGCAGTGGCCGGACCGTCTGTGGCGTGCACATAACAGACGCGGACGCGATGGCTGAGCGCCAAATCCAAACACCCTCCTCGTTAAAAGCTGACGTGTGGAAATATTTTGGCTTCTGAAGTTGAAGGGGGAAAGGAGCTGGACAAGAGCCACACTAGTTGTAAGCTTTGTAGAGTAAAACTAAAATATTTCGGAAACAAGACACATGAAGCCAAATGACACGTTTCCAGCCAGAGGAGGAAAAACACTCGGCTGTAACGTTACCGGTGTGGTGCCGAATTCTGACCCCCGCCAAATTATTACCCCCCTAGTATGGTAGGTTTAGGATTAGTTGTGGGGGAGGAGTTAGGATTAGGGGTGGGGTTAGGATTAGGCAATCAGGTACTGATTTCAACGAGGGGGGTAATAATTTGGCAGGGAGTCGAAATTCGGCACAACACCGGTCGTTGTTATATTATTAATTTACTACAAATATGCTGCTAGTTCAGACACACATGTATTTTCCTGTTGGTTCTTTGCAATGTTAATAAAATATATTGTACGTTAATTCTTTATGGGTCATTACTTTGTACTTTTAAAGCAAAGTATTTATAGTCACACACACACAAAAAAAAGATTCTGATAATCGATTTAGCATCGAATCGCAGCCCTCTGAATCGTAATCGAATCGAATCGTGAGGTGCCTAGAGATTCCCACCCCTACACAGGACTGCCGCATACTGGATGTTTTTCCCTTTTCACACCATTCTTTGTAAACCCTAGAAATAGTTGTGCGTGAAAATCCCAGTAACTGAGCAGATTGTGAAATACTCAGACCGGCCCGTCTGGCACCAACAACCATGCCACGCTCAAAATTGCTTAACCCTCTGGGGACCAGAGTGTTTTTGGGGCCCTTGGGATGTTTTGACATGCACTGACATTTGTGCTTTTTTCAGTTATTTATAAACATGTTAATGGCAAAGGTGTAAATTCACTCTATATAGCACAAACTTGGCTACCATGATATCTGAGCAACATGTATGTACATGTTTGTATTTTTAATAGAATAATGTTTATGCGTGGTTATTGAAAAAAATAAAAATGAAAGTTGCTGAAATAAGACCACAAAACACATATTGATTATTTCTTCACAAGACTTTTGAAAATTGTATCACATAGCCTAGAATATTTGCTCCAAAACTATGTGAGAATCATCCTGACTACTCATTCAGATAAGTCAATAAAGTCTTTTACATTTTTAATGACGTGTTTTGTTTGAGAAAGCTTTATGCAGAAGGCGTGATCTCTTATTAATATGTGTGGCATTCCACACCTGAGAAAGACAAAGACCCTCCCATAATGGCCCTATTAGGTGCTATCAGGCCATATCATTACAGGAGCCTTGCACAAAGAATGAGGAGATTTAAAAAAGAATGGCTTTTAGATTGTTTGGATTTATATAAGGAAAATACAGGGTGCATACGTCTGGACACTTCTATCACACACCCTTCACCATATAGACATGGTTTTATTTCAGTTCAAAGTTCAAAGTTAGAGTTGGAAACATCTTGAAAAGTCACGTCACTCCTCTCCTCACACAATTGCACTGGTTGCCAGTTGCCGCTCGCATTAAATTCAAGTCACTGACGTTTGCCTACAGAACAACCACTGGCACTGCTCCCTCTTACCTAAACTCATTACTTCAGACTTATGTGCCATCCAGAAACCTGCGCTCTGCTAGCGAATGTCGTCTTGTGGTACCATCTCAAAGAGGCACAAAATCTCTCTCTCGGACCTTTACCATGGCTGTTCCCTGTTGGTGGAATGATCTGCCTAACTCAACTAGAGCTTCTGAGTCAGTAGCCACTTTCAAGAAACTGCTGAAGACATATATTTTTCGGCAGCACTTGATTCAGTAGAATTAACACTTTCTCTTCTCTTCTATTCTATAATAAAAAAATAAAAAAAAAAAAAAAAAAAAAAAAACTGCACTAAAATTAAACTGAGAGGGGTTATAGCACTTACGTATTGTTGTCCTACTGTTAGTTTAACTGCTTCTATTGTTCTCATTTGTAAGTCGCTTTGGATAAAAGCGTCTGCTAAATGAATAAATGTAAATGTAAATGTGAAAAGAAAATTGTCTTTCTCCATAAATGTCTTAGTTTGATCATACATATTTCAAAGTTGAGGATTCATTATTTTGATATAGCTTGAACAAACACTATAACATCTTAGTTGATTAGTTTATTGACAAAACATACTATATATTTAACATATGAGCAGAAACTCCTAAAAAAGCTTATTTTATGTCTATTTTAGAGTAAAAACTTTATCCAAAACGAGTCAACGAAATGTTGTCTGTTATTTAGTCTGTAACAGTGCGTATCTGTGCGTTCATTCATTCATTCATTCACACACACACACACACAAACATGATTCACATTTAACAGTATGCTATTTTTCCGTTTACAGACACTACGTTATTCTATATCGCGATTAGAACAAAGCACTTGCAAAAAACACTTACTTCTCAGCTGAATCTGTTCATCCTCGAAATAAACCCAGTGGTAAATGTCCCAGGATTGTTCCTCATATAGCCGCGCAAGACGACAGTAGATTAATCTGACTAAAAAATAATGTGTGTTTTCAGAGTTTATGGGCGTTAACGCGTCTCAATGTGTTGCTTCACATATTTGCGTTTGAATAGCGCGTGCTCTCCGTGGGCGTGTC